CTAGTTGAACAGCCCTCGATTACTCCCTTACCTTTTCTGACCTGGAACCCCTTTCGGGGCGGGGGGAGGGGGTGGAAAGGAGTTTCCTCAAAAGGTTGTGATTACCCTTACTTGGTGGCGGGGCTCCAAACCACCAAGTAGAGGGGAGCTGTTCATAAGTGCTTAGCCACTGTGGGTATAACCCGGTAGTAGGGTTAACCCCACTAAGGGGGACTTATAAGTGGGTCAGAACCTTGGCCAACAACTTCCCAGCTTGGCAACGAACGAATCAGCGGAACCACACAAATGATCAGTTCGCTAGCGGGAACCACCTGATTATCTTGCTGATGCTCAGTAGGGAACATGGGAATGACCCCTAGAAACCATCCAACTGGTCCAGTTTCCTCTAAGAAGGCCCCTGGGTTCATTCCCTCATTCCCTACCTATCACACCAGCAGGTTACTGTGGATGGACGGAATCCTGCACCTCTTTGAATCCATGGAAAACCATAACGTTTGTTGGTATTTACACGGGAATCAAATCAGAAACCGGGGTTTCTTTGGTGCGAAATGGATTTCGTGCATCCACAGGATGCCAGCTTTCAACCAGGTGGAGCCCTGCCGCGGGCTTGCCACGGCGCTCAGCGGCTGGCCGCAACCTCAAAGCGCAAAGGTCGTGAAGTATTGCGGCGGCCCAAAGCGAATCGGCCGGATCTGACTCTTGTGTTGTTTTTCTCGTTTTGGTCTGGTAGTTTGAGGGTCCAGCTTGACCATTTCCAGACCAAAAGAAGACCACCATTGCTGGGGGTAAAGTTTTTCTTCGCACAATCTAAACACCCCTGTCTGACTATTCTATGCCGAGGTATCTCATCAGCACGCCCATGCACGATGCCTTCACGTCGGGGTCTTAGACTCGACCATTGCTCGCTTGAGTTGAACATTGATGGGTTCCACTGGCTTCTGCTTGAATCATTTGGGGCTGTCGTTTTCTGGGAGGGGGACCGATGTCAATGCGAGCTCCTGTCGGCCAGGCCTCGAACCGAGGATGCGCGGGAGCCAAACGACTATGGGGTTAATCCGACAATGGGTTGTGGAAAGAAGGCTTGTTGATTGCCGTTTCCTGTGAGGGGCGTTCAACCTTAAAATGAAGCTACAGGGCTGGAAATCCTACTTACAGCTTTGGACAAACCCAGCAGGAAACCAGCCATTTTGGGGTCCATCGTTTTGAGACAAGCCAACAGCCCCCTGATAAGGCCTTTTTTGAGTTCTCTTTGGGCCATTGGGGGTGATATTCAAAGGTGGTTAAAATGGGTGTGTCTTTTTTTGGGACCCCCAAAAAGGGTTGGCTTCCTAATGGTTTCCTTTTAATACCAACAAAAAGGGGTGCCCTCAAAAAACATGACAGACGCAAATGGCCAACAACAGAAGCAAGCAAAAGGCCGAAGTCTGGCAACCAAAATCAGGAGACAGCAGTCATGGATCTCTTTTTGCTAATCTCAGGACTCATCTTCTCTGCACATCTCCGAGCGTGGCTCACGTTGAGCCTGCATGGCTCACACTAAAGTCAACAGGGTTTCCCGCAGAGCAAGGCACTGGGAGTTTCAAGGGTCGCCTTTCATGCAACCAGATGAAATGTGAGCCTGTTCTTTTTGAGGCTCGGATTTTTTGGGGTTTTCTGAACGACTGGCAGTCACCCGTTGCAAACCACTAACTGAGGGTGACCAGACAAGAATAGAGAGCTAAACACTAGCTGGGGCTCAGGACAACAGGTTCAACAGGCACCTGTCCGCACGGGTTTGCGTCTGTCGATCGACTCAAGCGAGGCAGACATGCCGCTGCCGCCGCAGGCTCGTCATTCGTGATGCCTCGCGTGATCAGGCGTCTCCGAAGGTAAAGTTCCAGGGATAAGGATGTAATCGGCAAGGGTAATGACGACCAATCAAGGGGGAAATGCCTCTTAGGGGCCAAAGTTTGACCAGGGGAAGTACGTCCCAGGATTATGGAGATGATACGACCTCTTTGAAGTGGTAGTTTTTCAAAACAAATGCCACCATTTTGGTGCAAGCAGCGTGCTCATCTCCGACTATGCTTGCCAATTCTTCTTTGCTTGTGGTAGAGAGCGCAAATAAGGTACTGCGTGGCATTTTGGCATTTGTTTCTTTGTGTGTGTGTGTTATGTTGATTGTTTCCGGCTGCCCGCACTACCAGTACCCTCATTCAATCCAAGTTTAGGACAGCATCGCTCTGCACTTGCAATCATGGGGCAGTCGAAGCAGGCGGCTGTTTTCCAGTTGCTATTGACCGATAGATTGAAATCATGTTTTCGGGTTGTCCTATTTTGACACATACCCGAGTGGAGGTTCGACGAGAAAACACGTTGCCCAGTAGGAGATTCCGCTGAACTGCGAGATGCCGCAGAAAGTGCAAGACGGGACCCGAAGCACCTGTGACTTACGGCTGGGTCACAAGTGGAATCTCCAACTTGGGATCGAGGGAACCCGAGACGTTGCCCAGTGAATCTTGAGATCAACCGACAAAGACGAGAGTCCGGGTGTCTTGAAGGAAAGGAACATTAGGCATGGAGATGGATGGAACATCCAGGTTACCCCAGAGCACGAAGCTCTTCCTGTTTCTTCCCGGCTTGGTTACCTATTGCGGCTTGCCTGGAAGCACTGGAAGCACTGGAATCACGGGGTTATAGGCTCCTCACCTCCGGCTTTTGTTTTTTCCATAGATGGAGTTTCCAGGTTATTTGTGGCGGAACGCCGAAGGGAAAGGCACCGTTTTTTTGTTCTTCGCGCGAGAGTCCTGCGAGAGTCGAGGAGCCGGAGTTCGATGAGCAGCTGCTGCTCCCCTGCGACGCAAACTCAGCACATCCTATCAATTTTCGCCGTTGCAGGGGGCTCTTTTTGCCACCTTTTGTGAGACCATTGGCGACCCCCTCAACAAGGAATGCTTCACTACAAGGGGGTGGATCATTCTTCCACCAAAGGTGGCAAAAAGATCTCCTTGCGCCGTTGATGGAATTGGAAGCCCTTAAACCCCCAAAACGGCCGCATGTGGGCGTGATTTTTTGATTGGGGAGCCTCTGATGAGCATCATTTCAGGGGTTCATTTCCACCAACCACTTTTGGAGGTGGTGGCCTGTCAAACTGTGTAGCCATCTAAGTAAACGGCTTTAATTCCTGGCTTAATTGGGGTTGGAGTACAGCATATATAATTCTTTACGGTAATAGAGCCAAAAGTCAACGGGTTTTGGGCGCTGCTCAAGATAGGGGGAATTTCGACCCCTGGGATTCTGCCAAAGTTGACATTGCTCAACAGGAATTCCATTGATTTGTTTGGCTGGACTATTTTTCCAAATTAACCCAAGTTCGGAAGTAGGTGTCCCTTATTGACTAGAAATATGATGTGGGGATGATTTGGGGAAATTTCCCCACCCATTCCATTCTACTTGTTTTCTCCAGGTCTCACTATTGCCATGAATCTATGATTTTGAAAAAGAAGTGGGTTGTCAAAAACGCCTGGACCCCTTTTTAAGGGAGTGGTTTCTTCTTGGCTTCTTTAGGTGAACCTGAGAAAGGTCCCTTTTGCCTCACAAAAACACAGCTCGAGGCTTCAAACGTGCCATCGAAGGGAGAGGTTTTAGCGGCGCAAGACGCCAAACAGGCAAAGCTGGGTCTGTGGCCTTGGAGGTGAATGGGTCACGCCTGCAGGTGATAGACCTTTTGCTCGTTGGAGCTTGGAGCAAACCGGAAGTCCTCTCTCACAATTGGAGGGTCTCTAACCCGAGGACTTGAAGTTTCTCGAAGGATTCGGACCCCTTCTGGTTGCCATTGAAGAGCACACCAGGCTACAACTGTATTGGGGTCCCTATCTTGAGAAGCACCCACACTCTGCGACTGGAGGCATGCACTTGGGGTCCCAACTCTTATTTCAAGTTGTGGAGCTATTGTTCGAGGGGGTGATTCCCCATTCTTTTCAGCCGTGATTATTGGTTCTGATGGTTTTCTGAAAAGAAGGATCCCTGGAAAGAATGGGGAAGTGTCCCCTAGAGTTGTAAAATTTGCAGCTCCATTTTGCGCTGATCAGAGTGGAAGCCCTTTTAGAGAGAGAAGTGGCGCTGACCTCACACAGGCTGTAATCATGTCAGCCAACGTGGGCCTCTTCCTGTGCGACGCGCTGTCCCTCACAGCCTAGGCCCCAGAGACACAAGCGGACTTTTGGATCGGGAAACCGGTCAAACAAAACATAACGTTCACCCCGCATTAGCAAACGGCAAACCCCCAGTTGATTCCTAGTGAAAAGTCCCCTTTAGGTGGGAATCCGGATCACTTTCGTGGGTGACGCCCGCTTGGACCCGAGTTCCCATGGTTTGGTTTGGAACCAGCAGCCCTGACAGTTCTCTGTCTGCTTGCTGTGTTTGTTGACTTTTGGGAGAGGGGATGGAGAGCCAGCCAGAAATCTGGTCGTTGCTATGAAGAGATACCTCTAGAATCGGAATGTTTGCTGAGACCTGGTGCATGAGCTGGGTGGTTTTTCTTTTCGACCCTTAAGGGTGAAGTTGACCATCCCAAAGCCCCAGCTATTCGGGTGTTTTGAAGAGCATAAGGTGCTGAATCAAGTCCTATGATTTGACCTCCTGGTCATGACATTTGGTTTCATGTGCCGCACAGCCACATAACCACTAAACCAGGATCCCATCCAAAATATTGAGCCCATTCAGTGGCAAAGGATTTCTTTTACTCGAGCCCCAAATGGCCAACGCTTGATTTGGTTGTAGAATGATTATTTGGGTGCGACTCTGTGTCAAGGGTACCTTTTTGAATGGTTTTCAAAGGAAACCAAAAGAAACGCCAAGGCCTTTTTGGGGGTCCCCTAAAAGACTCGCCCATATACCTCATGATTCCCTGCGGCAACTGAGTAGAGGGATGGTGCATATGTTCACTGGCTCTTGTCACCTGCCAAGGTGACGCCCTTACTTCGCCAGCCCGAGACTCGGGCCTCGGGTTTTAGCTCGGCTTCTGTGAGGAGAGACACTCGGTCCATGAGAATGCGGTTGCACAATGCTGTCAAACCAAATTACCTCAATGACCTTAGAAGAATAGTGTTTGTACTTATTTGGCTTCTTGCAGTGAACATTTTGCACGCGTTTGCATACCACATGCTTTACCACAGGCGCCCTGCTCAGAAGTAACAGGATTTGGCATTGCTGGGTTTTCTTAGTTTTGGTAGCGGAGCTCAGTGCTCTCTCCCGCAGCCGTAGCCGACCTCGATCCGGGCACTGACCACCCTTTCTTTCACTTCGCAATGTAGATCCTGACTATAGGGAGGAAAGGGTCGTGGGCCGATCTCGCTGCTTCCCAGCAAGACCATGACAGCAGTTTTCGCGGATCTCTCAAACTAATTTTCGTGCCAAGGGCCCCGGAAATTTTAATCGACCCCGTCCAGCTCGGCGCGGTTTGAGGCGGCCCCTTGTTTCGTGTTTCGGTTTGTCTCTGATCTGAAACTGTCTATTCTGGAGCCTTTTGTGGACCGCTGAGGCTAGCCGCGGAAAAACGGACTGACAAAGTGGGTGGGGTTACTGTCCTGGTTGTTGGTAGCTTTTGGCAACTCCCGCCTCGACATCGTCATGGCCCCCGACTTCTCGGTGCCTCCCGCAATCCCAGCCGCTGTGCGCATCTGACTGCAGGCCTGTGCTGGGTGTGGCCTTCAGGACAACACAGTACCGGGTTGGGCACAGCGGGCCTGTGGTGGGCGAGAACGAACATGGGGGGCAACAACATGGTTTGGGTACCTGAAATGGAACCACGCTGTGCTGTTCGAGAAGGACTTTGTCAATCACGAGGTAGCGGCTGCGGGCTCTTTGGCTGAGTTCTGAGGTACAGTCATGGGTTCTGGCAGGAGCGCAGTGCGTGCCTGCAACAACCCCGGCATGGGCATGATCAAATTCGAAAGTTGCCAACGTGCTTGGTAGCTGGTGGAGGTAGGGCGGCCGTTGTGCTCAAAGGTGACGCCAAGAGGGGCCGAAGCGGCATGCAGGCCCGAGAAAAGTTCACTTTGCAATGGACGCGGATGACTGCCAAGTACCGGGGGTGGATACAGCGGCAGGCCCGCAAGGCAGCGAAAGTAGCGTTGGTCAGTCACGGCGGAAGCGCGGGAACTAAATAGGGCATCCAGACGTGCAGGAGGCGCTGGGGCGACAGCCGCAACGAGGGGGAGCACATGAGTATGTTTCTCTCGTTTGCTGATGCGCCTTGGCATAAGTGTTTGTTGCTGACAGGGTTCGGGGACCTCCGCCAACAAAACGACCACCGCAAAGGGCATGAGCCGATAGAGTTACGGGATGTTACGGGGGCGCATGTTCAACCTAAGTGTCATGCAATCTGGCCAGTAATGACAAGTGCATGATCAAACATGCGCAAATGTGGTTCAAAGCACTTGGCGGGTTCTTGCTTTAAACAAGGCGTCGATGTTTCAACGTACTTAAAACGCATGCCTGGTGAACACCAATCTGCAAACGCTGCTTTTTACTTACTTGCGACTCACGCGGTGATAGACTTTCCTTGGGAAACTCGATGGACTCGGCAAGCATGGTTGTTGCCCACACCATTGGAAGTCATTTGAAACCCATTTATGAACGATGGCATCTCCTGCATCTGGGCAAATCCGCTTCAGGAGCCACTTAGCAGCTCGGGCCGGCCGCTGGACCATCAATAGCACTGCTGCCGTTTCGAGGTGATGGAGATGCATATATATATATATATATTTACAAAGAAAATATCTTTGGATGAGGTTCCCTTCCTTTTGGATCCCCCAAAATGACCTCGGTGCCCCTCAAGAAAGACACGCCCATATATTGCACATGTAGACCATGTGGATCTGTACATATGTGCAGTGTTCCTACTTACTGCCTCTCAAGTATTTGCTGTGGAAAACGGAACGCGCAGCTACGCGAACGTTGCGCTACACTCTGCGGCCCCCATCACACGCCTGCCACGTGCTTTGTCATGTCCGGAGAACACGGCACACACCTCTCCAGTGGGGTTCAGCAAAACACTGTGTTTTACCACACGATATGAAGGTGTGAGTGGTCAAAAGTTACACCTTTTTTCGAACAAAATCTGCGGTTTGAGCAGTGCCGACTTGTTCGCTTGAGCTCGCGCTCGTCTTGGAAGCAAGCCTTCGAACAACATAGGTTTCTGTCTTCATGCGGTGGACCCTCTGTAAGCAAGTGCCGTGACATATTTCCTAACCCAACATTTGCTTGTTAGTAAAGGGAAACCAACATGCACTTCTGGAATGCTATGACTCTTCATAAAGTTTCTGCCAGCGCATGAATGCATTCATACTCAGAAAAGCTGACCACATTGCCCCGACATACATACAGTCACAAGCAAACACCGTACAGCCGAACAACACTAGCCCTAGCATCCAGTGACTCTCTTTGTCTGGCTGGTTCTGGACGCAGCAGAGCGGGGGTGCTTGTCATGGGCTGAGCGTATTTTCTGTTGGCTGCGGAGGCAGCAGAGCGGGTGTGTTTATCGTGGGCCGAGCATGTGTTCTGCTGGTTGCGGGCACCGGCGGAGCGGGTGTGCTTATCATGGGCCGGGCATGTGTTCTGCTAGTTGGACGCACCGGAGCGGGTGTGCTTATCATTGGGCCCGAGCATGTGTTCTGCTGGTGTGCTTATCATGGGCCAAGCATGTGTTGCGCCGGTTGCAAAGAGGGTGTAGTATCATGGGCCGAGCATGTGTTCTGCTGGCTGCGGACGCAGCCGAGCATGTCGTCTGGCTTCAGACGCCGCCATCCATGTTGAGGGGCTGTTTGCGCGAGGGATCCTTCTCGCCTTGGCCAGTCTTGCAGCTTGAAAGGAAACCATTTTTTGGAGGGCAATGTTCATGTGGGCACTGCAGGATCCACAGTCGCAACCGGCAAACAGTTTAACCGTCTAAAGTTGTTGTCCCCCATGTTTGGGCACATGGCATCACTCACAAACGTTGGTTTTGCGAGCTGATTGGCCTTATGTTTTCACAGAGGGTGTGTCCTTATGTTGGGATGGTGACCTTGACGACTCAATCGACTCCTTTTGCTTGCCACGATGACCTAGAAAAAACGGTACAAAGGCAGGAAAAGGGGGTGAGAAGGAGGGATGTCTGGTATCCCATTCGGCAAAACAAGAAGAGGTGACAACCCTAGGCCATAGAATAATTTTGACCATGACTCATATCATTTCTTCCATGCCAACTGCTGCAAAGTTGATTTTCTCGATCTGACGCCTGGATGGCGGTTCCCACCGAGTCCGGAGCCTGCGACGGCGGCGATTCCGCACCTCCCACGCGCCGAGGTTTGGGCTGGGGGGTTGATGTTGGCAACTGCTCATTGGAATCCAACCGCCGGAAGGTGTTTATGTGAAGAGCATTTTTAGGTATAGGTTTTGGAGGCATGGAGGTTATGCACCACTTATATTTAGAGGGTATATAACGTCTCACAAGCTCATATTGGTGGCATGTAAGCCTCCATACCGCCAAACATGTATCAAAAGGGGGGGAGGCCCAAAACGCGGGGTTGTCCCTTTTGGTTCCTTTGAACCCTCAACGAAACAGGTGGCACATCGTGAGGGCTTCGGCGATTTTTTGTTTTTAATGTGGAAATATTTCAATCCCTCAAAGGAAAGCACTTTTCCAGAACCCTCCTCTCAACTTCTGTGATGTCCCGTTTCGCCGTGGTGTTCCTTGTTGCGATCTTTGCCTTTTGAGGTTTGAACATGTCTAGTTGTCTTCCCCTTGTAAGCATCGAGCATTGGCGGCTTAGTGAATTGGGGGGGTTGCCACTGGTTGTAAGACCCTTGCAGAGAAACAAAGAGGCAGGGATTGGTCAAGAGCCTGCAAGAGGAGCCAAGTTTTGGGCAGGGCCGGCAAAATTTGGATCTGCATTTTATTGGGAGATCATTCAGGGGGGGGATTCATGTCCACCAACCACTTTTGAGATGAATCGAAGCCATTTGTTTCAACAACCAGACCCTGGCCATTTTTTGAAGCGCAAAAAAGAGGATGTTTCAACACTTCTTGAGTTCCCGGACTTAAACGTTTTTTGGGTGTGGACCATAGGGTTATAGCGGAGCCATCCCCCCGTGGCAGGGAAAAATGCGTACAATGCGACCGAGCCCCTTGTAACGTCAATCTCCGATTGATTTTTCAATTGTTTAAAGTATTTACAATATTTTGAAATAAGTATGTCCAAGAATATGCTCAAATTTCTATTCTGCGTCTTTTCCATTTCTTGTCCATGTCCTTCTCATTCCCTTTCACTTTTTTTCTATGTCCTGTGCAGTTTTTGCATTTGCCCATTGCTATACAGTATATTTACCAGGTGCTCTCCATACTTTCAAGTTCTTTCCATTCCTTTCAATGTCATTCCAATTCCACTTCTTTCCATTTCTTTGGAGGGCTTTTCGATCCTATTCCAACTCCTTTCCATTTCTGCACATTTCTTGCCATTCCTAGCTAGAAATGCCCAAGGTCAGGCGGAGCCGAAAAGTCTAGTTTCACAATTTCACGCGTGAAGAAACTAAGAGCGCCGGGTTGCCTTTCAATTTCCTGTCCGTCCTTTCCACTTCTTGCAATTGTCCTTTCATTTCTTGCCATCCCTTTGCATTCCTTTGCATGCCTTTGCATTCCAAGCTAGAAGTGCCCAAAACCAGCCGGGGTCAAGAAAGTACTCATTTCGCAATTTCCCGAGTAAAGAATTTGATGGGAGAAGTCTAGTTTCGAGAATTTCTCGCGTAAAGAAGTTAACATCGCCGGGTTTCCTTTCCATGTCTTTTCCATGTCCTTTTCGCTTCTTTGCGTTTCCATTCTTTCATTTGTTTGCTCATTTCCTCTCCCTGCCTGCAACTAGCACCAAGTCCCTGGCTGAGGCTGCTGTCAGTTCTCGCAATCCGTGTGTGTGTGTGTGTGTGTGTGTGCGCGGACTCCTTTTGCGTGTGATGGAATTTATGCACTTGTCATTGTCTGCCTGAAGTGGAAGCGAGTGGAGTCAAGTCACGGCTTCCACAATTTATCCTTGGTCCGGCTAAGAGGCCAAGATCCGTGAACAGCTCATTTCTTTGGAACTGGCAACCCACTGTTTCAAGGTTGGACAACCCACTTACGTATACGTGGTACCTTTAAGCATCGCCCCAAGGGCCACGTTCCAGTCACTTCCCCAGAAGCTTGGTGATGTTTCACCAGGAACCTTGTTTGTCCATATGTCTGCTATTGTCTTCTATACCCAAGATGAAGAGGGATGCTCACAAAAGCCCCTTCAGCGATTCGACCTTTTGACTCTTGGCTTCCCCCTGTTTGGCTTCTCCAATGTTTCGCCGTAGCCCCAAAAGGTTGGCTCGCCCGAGGAACGTCTGTTGGTTTGACGGGACGCCGAAAAGAGAGCAGCGCTACGCCATTTTGGGTACCGGGTCCAGGTCGGATTCCCATTTTGAGACAAACCGAAAATCACATTTTTTTCAGGGTTCATAGGGCAAGAGACACTGGACAAAATTCTGCACGAAACGGTCAGGGGCCCTTGGGCACAACCAGTGCCTCAAACGGCACTTGGGTGTTCGTTGCCAAGTTGAGTTCTTGGCAACCTAGGTTACCCACTTATAAGTCTCCTGTCTTGTGGGGTCAACCCTGTTAACGGGTAGCCCAAGTGCGCAGATCCAAGACAGGGACTCCGGGGTCAAGTTGGCAACCCCTTCAAGGCACGCTAGCTCACATGATTTTGAGTTGCAACGAAACTTACGAGTTTAGGTTCTGACCACATATAGAAACATATGGTGACCAAGGGCCCCGCTTATAAGGCCGATTCCCACTCCGTTTCCCGGGCGCATTTTTTGCGTAGGCTGTGTTCTGGGATTTCTGTTGGGTGCCTTGGGTCCAATTCTTCTCTTGGGGTGGGAGTTTGTCTTTGTTTGGGGGCGAATTGAACGTGAAAAAGGAAAGCCAAGCACAAGACAGGAGACGTATAAATGGGTAACCTAGGTTACCAAGAACTTAGCTTGGCAACGAAAACTGTGGGTCAAATCTTGAGATGCCCCGGCGCCTGCTTCAGGCCTTCGTTGCCACCGGGCCGGACGACATCGACTCAGCCGGATGCTCAGGGTCCTTGGGGCCAAATATCCGTGCGGGGGGGGGGGGTCGGTTTCCACCGCCTTCAACTTCAACTTGTCTGTTCTTGGTATGTGTGCGTGTTTTTAGCTTTCACCTTGTAATTTTGTTTGTGTTGAGTTGCGTGTTGCTGCTCAATTTTTTTAGTGGCTTCAGAGTTCAGCCTTCAGTAATGGGTGTGGCTTTTTTCAGGGAAGCCGCGATTAGGTGACCAACCCCTGGCGGTTGGCCAAGTCAAGTCGCATCAGATTCTGCCCGCGTTGGAGGGCTCCCCCAGATTGCCCCTTCCTTCAACATCACCTGTTTGGGCCAGCTTACAGTGGAGGCATGGGGAACGCACATTTTAGGGGTCCGTCCTTCTTGGCTGATCCTTTTTATGCTGTAAAAGTCAAGAGGATATTAATGAACTGTCAAAGATGTTGCTGCGCAGGAGATCCGAGTCTGAGATTGCAGGCCGCCCCCTTTTAACTAGATGGTGTTGCGTAATTTGACGAGGACAGAACCTTGTCTTCCACACCACGAAGAAACCTTCCGATGCCCTTTTTTGGGTTGTCGATTCCAAGTGAGGGTGAGGTTTTATAGCTACCCCCTCCCCCCCACCCATGCCCGCAAACCATGGAACAGCTACCCCTCCCCCCCCTCGCGCAAACCATGGAAACAGGCCGCCTCGGCTCGCAGGCCAAGTTCGAACCCACCTGCGTGATTTGCATCGCAGAGTTCCAGCTGCAACCTTAGAACCGAGGGGAGTCAGCTTCTCGTGAAGCTTACCCAGACTAGGTCCCCCAGTAGTGCCCTTTTACCTTTTTTTTGGGGGGGAGGCTTCCCCTACTAAAATAGACTACAGAAAAAAAAGGGTACCCTTATTCTAACCTCTCTACTGGATTTCCTAGCAGACGTCTAGTTGGTCGCTTCTTTTTCTGCCCCAGCTGAATCCATGTGACATGGGTCTGGCTTTAGCGCTTTGGGACAGTTTTAGTGTTCGGCAGGATGCGTTCAAGCACCACTCCTTTTCAGCTTGAAGGCGCAGGGGTCTTTCTTTCACTTCCCCAGTTGGACTTTGGTCACTTGGGAAGACCATGTCATATACAACAAGTGCTGCACTTTAGTAGAGGAGTTTTAGAGCGAACGGCGCGGGAGCCAAGAGCTGCTCGCCTAGCCCCTGGTAAGTGGTCCTTACACCCTCCAACCAGGGTTGGCCAGGCCCTGGTCGCTGACGCAGCCCGTATGCGTGTGTCTTTTCTCTGAGCAACGGAGCTCACCTCAAACAAAGAGGGACAGATGTGGCTGGACCAGTGCATCCATGGTGCACCCAACATCTGCCATCGCGAGGGTACCAATTCAGGGGTGAAAAACGCGCTCAACACGAGGTAGGCCCTTGCAAATGCGCCTTATTACAGGTTTTGGAGGTATCACAACTTCCAATTGCCTATGAATATGTTGTTATTTTCCTCGGTGAGTTTTAAAGGGGATCTATGACTAAAAGTATGATTATCATTCTTTCCAGACGAAGAAGCAACTGGCAGGAATCCACTTAATGTGGGTGTGCCTTGTTTGGTTCCCATTTTTTTGGGGTGGAATCTACCGGAAAACCGTTGCGCCACTTTGGTTTCTATGCCACTTTTTCAGCGACAAGGAACATGGCGAAGGGTTGAGTCGGGTTTCTTGAAACCTGACTCCTTTGACCAATTTCAGGAGTTTTGGCGCGGATTCACTGGACTATCAGGTAACCCTTGCTGGTTTGGATTGGGATTTGAAGCCCTTGTTGAAACCAGCCCTAAACCGTACCAATCCAAATCACCAACTCGAAGCTGATTTCTGTTGGGTCTTGCCTGGATAATCCGGTTGCCATCTGGCTGTGGTTGTCAAAAATTGGGTAACCCCAAAATGAAGTCCTGGTAGATGGAAAATGGAAACTAAAACCTTCGGGCTTAATTTTGACCCATACCCATATGGGTGTGAGTTTTAAGAAGGAAAGCTGCGGGCACCAGTTAGGTGGCGATTTACGTCCAACCACTTTGGAGGTGGTTCCCTTTGAAAATTCAGGTTGCCATCTGCAAGCAGAATCCCCGTCGGCACAACACACGAGGCCCGGGGAGGCTTTGGCGCGGCTGCCGTGTGGTCACACCTTCCACCGAGAGCCGGGGCCCGGGTTTTTTGAGAAACCCAGCGGCTGGCTGGTGGTTCCTTTTTTGTTGGAGGGGGTTCTCCCCTTAACATCAACGCAGGAAAACAGAGTACTCAGTTTTTCTGCATGGAAATCCACTGGTGGGAAGCAATGATGAGCCATGATGGATGGACGAAATGCTGCACCAGGTAGGACAGGATGGATGGAAGCCTACGAATACTGGCATAAACTAAGTACTACCAGGTGAAGTATCTTGTCCATCCAGAGCAACACGAGCCATGAGAAGGTCTAAGAATTAGTCACGTATAGTCATAGCCATTTTGAGGCTGCAAGGGCTCCCTTGGGAATGAAGGGGAAGGGGGTTTTCTTCGAGGGGTCATTCCCAAGAAATGTCCCACGAACCTTCAAGTAAAGCTAACCTTGCTGTTGGCTCGTCGTTGTTTAAGGCTCGGTACCCCGATGTGTTTGGTTTTAAAGGAAAACCAAATGGAAACCAACCATTTTTGGGGGTCCCCCCAATAAAAGAGGCACACAACAATCCTACAATGTGACTTCGATCTCGGTCTCTTGGTTTTGGGTCTGTCGGGTGTCGGATGTCGGCTCGGCGGCTCTTGGGACGGCAGAGCCTTTTGGGCTCGCGGAGATTGTAGAGGGGTTCTCCGGTTTCCCCTTGAAACCATTTGTGTGTGTGTGTGTCTTTTTGTTGGGACCCCACAACTCGTGACTGTCCTCTTGGGTTCCCTTTAGAAGCACACAAAGAAAAGTGACACACCCTTTTTGCACTTTCGGGCTCGCAGATGTGAGAGGAGAGCAACAAGGAGTTCAACCTCATGGCTGAGAAACATTTTTCTTCTTTTAACCCATTCGGGCTTTCCACACTTGCGTAGCCGCGCAAGATCAGAAGCAGATTTGCTCCATGGGGTTTCTTGGCTTGTGGGGACGTCTGCGCCCTGCCAAAGGTGAGAGAGTTGTCCGGATGTCTGTTGAAAGGTCGAAGGGGTTCCGACAGAATGTTTCTGAGGCCAGTTTGGCGGGCTTTCCTTTCACTGGCCTTATGTTTTTAACATCAAAGTCTCTTCCCGGCGCGGCTAACTTGGATATCTTCCCCAGAAACAGTCAAAATCATTAATTACCCAGGTTTAAAACAGCAAAGAAGGAGAGGCCCAAGCTCTTGCTTTTATGAAAAAAACCCTGGACAAGCACAGACATCTTCATTCTCTTTGGAGCTGGGGGGAAGAACCCTAGGGAGACTCAAGCAGCGATATTGTTGCGAAGAGTGGTCATCCACGGGGTGACCCTTCCAGTGCTTCCAAACAAATCCCCAAAGACTAGGGTGGAAGCGGGAAGGAGCATTTGACCTTAGTAGCAGGCAGCCAACGCTGTTCATGCGCCGACAGCAAGTTTCACGTTGCCAGATGCACGCAGTGTCATCATCTATGAGGAAGTACCAGCATCATTCTGCATCGCCATCACCATTCCTCATCACCAGCAGCATGTAACACAGCCAGAAACCGGTGGCATCATCATCACCTTCATTATCCTGCCTTTCCCTATCCTCCTCATCATGTTCACAATCATGTTCATCATGTTCATCATGTTCATCATGTTCATCATCATCATCATCATCATCATCATCATGATCATCATCATCATCATCATCATCATCATCAGTATCATCATCAGTATCATCATCATCAGTATGATCATCATCATCGGCATCACCATCATTCACCACCACCATCATCATCAGCATCATCATCACCATCATCATCATCATCACCATCATCATCACCATCATCATCATCACCATCATCATCATCATCATCAAGTTCATCATCATCATCATCATCATCATCATCATCACCATCATCATCATCATCACCATCATCATCATCATCATCACCATCATCAAGTTCATCATCACGATCATCATCATCATCATCAACATCATCATCATCATCATCATGATCATCACCATCATCACACCATCATCAGCACCATCATCATCATCATCATCATCACCACCATCATCATCATCATCATCATCGTCATCATGATGTTCATAATCAACAACATCATCATCATGCTTTTGATCATTGTCCTTATCTTATCATTGCCGTTATCACCACTTGTTTGCGTTGCACAGCGCGTCACAGCCTTGCTCGCACCGTGGCGTTATGTCAAGCATGCAGAAGGCATAGCCCTTACTCTTGCGGCCAATGTAAACATGGAGCCCTGGCTCATTTCGGCGCGGATCGGTCAAATCTCAACTAGAGTTTGGCCCTTACTGCTTGTTAGGACCCGCAGGCCTGGCGTGGAATCGGAACCTTGGGTGTTCATGACTGCCTGGCACTGGGACATGTTCCGCGATGTTTTTGAATGGCACATGTCTGCTATTGCGTTGATGAAACTCCATCTATGTTTTGACCCGAGACCCACCAGGTGGACTGGTGGATGTTCTCCAAAACATGAGCCGGGAATCTGGATCCCCTCTAATGTTAACCCCGGATAAATAAACCCCTGCTTGATGAATAGAGGGGTGTCCCCTTTTAGTGGGGATTCATCACTTTTGGAGGGAACACCGCCCTAATAATGGGACGGCTTTATTAATCCTGGGTCAACAAAAATAAGGGACAACCCACTCAAAATCCAAAAAGCGGCTCTGCTAAGAATCCTGGGCCTCAGGCACCCTATTGGAAGGATGCAAGCGGCTGAGGTGTGTCAGCGAATGGCTCAGCCAGCTGGCAGCTTAGAGGGTTTGGTTGGGCAAATAAGGCCAGGTGACATCCCCAACAGCCCCGGAACCCTCCGGAACCCTCCGTGAAATCTGCGCCAAACCAGAGACTCAGAGACCCCATGTCTTTCAGCTGTTGGGCAACTATATTTAAACAGCCAACACCTGGTTTCCTTTCAAGGGAAACCCAAAGGATGTAAGGATGCAGTTTGAACAACAGGTGCTTCGACATGAACGGAGGCCTACTTGGTTGAAACGCCTTGAGAAGCACTTCGAGGGTTGGGGGGCAAGGGTGTGGTCAAGAGTTGTTGCGATTAGTGCTTTTGAGAAGACATGTGCAGTGAGTGGTAGACAACAAACATGAACTCGGTTGGCCAATCCATTCAGGAAGTGAGCACTGGTCGCGCCATCTTCGCCAATGTCGGATTCGTCAAAATGAGGACCATGCTACTCCGAGGAATCCCGTTAAAGTGAACATTTTCCCACAAAGGGGATTCACCCCTGATTAGTATTGTCATCCAAAAGTGACATCAGGCTTGGGGGTTGTAAATTGGACCAACTTAAGAGTTGGACCAAGCCATACCAAGCCATCGCTGTTCCAAGGGCCTCCCGTTGCTTTGGTTTCCCGGTGAAGGTAGGCGCAACTTTGAACTGAGCAAAGGGGATGGATCCACAATGGCTTGGAACTCCCCTTAAACGTGGTAGTTAAAGAAAGGGGAGGGAAACAAAATTGCTTGTAGATACCATCTTTCACCAACTGTGAGGTTTTGCAAAGAGGCAATGACCGGAGAATAAGCGCAATGGATTTTCCATCCATCCTTCCCTGAACGGGAGCATTTTGCTGGGCGCCCTTCCTCCTTGGCATGGGAGCGAACATAGCAAAGGAGAGATGCTGATAAAATCCCTAGAGCTGGCGAGCCCAATTTGGTTCCAACATCATTGGTTTGCCGGTATATTATCCTTTGAGTTTAACATGTGTTTTCCGGTTCTTTTTTGGTTTGGTTTTGTTTTGCGGGGTGCTGCCAAGAACATCCCGTTCGGACACGAAGGCAAGCCCTTCACTGGGGCAAGAAACCACTACACCCCCCAAACTCTTGGTTTTGTGGGAGGGCGTGTGGGTTTGTCCCCAAATAGGGGAAACCCCCAAAATGGTTGGTTTCCTTTTGGCTTCCCTTTGAACCAGCCCAACAAGGGTGCCCCCGAAAAAGAGACAGCTTTGTCTGGGAAAACCCCGAGTTTTGTTGCGGGAAGGGGTGGTTCCTCCCAATTTGTTTGAATTTTGCGGCGGGTGTTTCGGCCTTACACATGCGTTTGAGTGGTGGGAGTCCATGTTGAACCTCAAAGCCCTTTGGTCTGTCTTGGTTTGGTTGTTTATGTTGTGCTGGGGAACCCAGGTGTTTAAGTGCAAGGCTACGGTTTGGGTTTGGGCGCGCTGACCCCCTTTGCATAATATAGGCACCATGTAGTCACCTTTTGTGTGAATATAGCAATGTAGCCTAATAGCTATGTTATATATTAGATGCAGCCGAAAGAACGGCGTGGTTCGTAGCCATATCCTTAGATTCAGAAAAGACTGGCCTTTCCGGTGGTTTTTGGATGCGCCGTTCTTCGCAGGCACCGCAAATGTCCGCTCCGATGTGCGGGACTGGTGCTGCCGCCCGAGCGCGGGGACTGGGGGGAGGGCCTGGGAGCTGGGGGGGGGCTGGGGAGGGGCTGGGGAGGGGCTGGGGATCCGAAAAGTGGTCAGTTTCCGCTGAAGGCCGCTTCTTGCTGACCCTTTCATATTTTTCCCCTTTTGGTCCAACTTCAGTCATGGCCCCAAAGGTCGACCTTTCATTTGTTGGTCCTTCCGGCAACTGAGTCTTTGGAGTGGCGGTTTATGCTGAGTTTGCTTTTTGTGTTGCTTTAAAGGGCATTTTCTCGTGGATTGTTTGGAAAGCTTCCCTGTGTCCTCCTTGTTCCAGTGCCTTTTCGAACGACTGTGGAGGTGTACGTCTGCTGCCGTCCAGTGACCACAGCAGGTAACTGGGCCTTCTTACCTCTAGGTTTTACTTGCCTGGCGGCATTGGGCATTACCTATAGTGGTTAAACACCATAGTGATTTCTTCTTTGTCGCAAGACGAATCGAGCGCCACCCAACCCTATGGCGGTCTCCGAAATTGTGGGGACGCCCCAGGTGGTTTCCATAGCAGCCTGCCGCCTCTTTGGGGTGAGTTGCCCAAAACATGTGCAAACACCCCCCTGGTTCTAAACCAAAAGCAGGACGCACAAAGCAAAGTCTAAATAAATTTGATTTCCCTCTCAAAATCATTCGATCACAAGTAGCCGAAGAGGGGGGTTTGGCATTTTGAGACCTTCCTAGGACTGGTTCAGATTGGATATGGAACCCTTGGTCTCGGTTGACAGCCTCGGAACGAGTGGGTTGCCATACAATGACCGACTCACATCAGTCCCTTTCCGGCCGTTTGTACCGCAGCTTGAGTGAGTCTGGGCCCAGCTCAGACGGCAGAGAGAGCGTCAGCGTGAGAATGCTTACTGGGCACTCCTCACCAAAGCACGATCAGAACGTTGGGCTTGCTCGCCACCATAATCCAACGCGGTCAGGGCTGCTAGCAGACATATGGCAACAAAAGTGTGTGTTGCATTTTGAGGAGGACATTTCCCGCAGCACGCCCATATGCGGCCTGCCGGTCTTTGCCTGAGGCGTCAATTCGCCTCAATTCGGATCCTATAGTTGGACCTTTGGGATGGTGTTAAATGGGAACCAAGAAGAAACAAACCCCCCCTTGGATCGACCCCAAGACACCCGTGAAAAGGGGCATTCTAAGACAGGCATAATCCCCTGCAAATCTAAACGAGATGGATGTTTGGGCTCCATGTGTTGCATGCCACCAAAGAACAGGGAAGGATCTGTCGGCGATTCGCGAACTCGCGAGGAGTCAGAGGAAGCAGACGGCCGGGGCCCTGAAAACGAGAATTCGAATCACCTTCTGGGGAATCGCTCCATGGGTTTGACGTTCAAAGCGCACTTGCCCCCTTCCCGTTTGTCGAACCCTCAAAAAGGGTGGAAGGGTGGTTTATAGTTGGTTTCCCTTTAAACAAACTTCAGAAAAGGTATCCTTTAAACTTGAGGCAAAGAAATTCCCAAGCTCTATATAACAACCATCGGCCATGTTACTGGGTGCTTCTACCTTGTTTGCGCATGCGGGATCTTTGTCAGGTTTGTACCGCTCAATGACACCCTCGGACATGTCTGACAAGGTTTCTCACCAGTTCAAGAAGGGGGGGACATTGCGCATGAAATTATGTTTTGCGTCTGTGTCACAGTTTTGTCTGGAGTCATGATTTTGCTGGATTTGGGGGTCGTCAAAGTCAGAAACCCTTTCAGCTATCTCTGAAATCACGGTTCCAGCACTGGGGGTTCCGATCCAATGCTCTGAGGACGTCCAAACCTGGGTAGAGCGGTCCCTGGGGCTTGGTTTTAAAGGGAAACCATTAAACCAAGGAAAAGGAACACTTCTGTTGTTTTATTGTTATGTTCTTTATGTTTATATGATTTTTACTTTTTATTGTATGTTAACAAAAGGAACTTTTATCCTTTTTTTTGGGAGGGGGGCATTTTACTAGCACCCAGATGGATTTTGTGGGGTCTCCGACCCCAACGCTTTTTCGTAGTTTAGGCTATTTCTGAACAAGTCAGAGAATAACATATCGTCTGCGTACCCCTGTGGGAAACCCGAGCTTTCTTGGGCTTCCCTGACTTGCCATCCAGAGTTTCCGTCTCGATCATGTCGAGTTGGTTTGGGGATGGCCTCGGGGTCGCCGGGGGACTTGGTGATGGCACCCGTGGCCAATACCATCATTGTGCAGTAGATTCAGTAGATGGTGAACGCGTGTATCCATTGGGTACCCTAATCCTCAATACATAGGGTACCCAGGGTACCCAACACATCATCGGGCAGTGTATCCCAATCATAATCGCCCCAGGCCTCGTTGAGTTTTTGTCTCCCTTCGACATCAGCGGCTCCACTTTTGTATTTTTTTCTGGAAGAGCCCGCTGTGGAATCAGCTTTTGATAAGTAGGAGGGCCACTGCTTTAGGGTGTCCACTTTTCGCTTGTGGGTGTGTGAAAATAGGTGAACCTTGGAACATGCTGGCTGTCCTTTGGTTTCCCTTTGAAACCACCTCTCGTCAAACTTACCGTGCGTCAAGAGGAAACACCTAGCTGGGTTCGCGTTGCCATGCGAAGCCTGTGAGACCCTTGCAGCGAGCCCGATTTGATGGGAACGAAAGGGACCCAGGGACACTCCCCCCCATGTTGCGACATACCAACTTCTGATTTGGCCTCAAGGGCCTCACGATGCGGATCGCCCCCAAGCCGTTGGAGCACTTGGTTTTGGAATGGTGGCTCGTCTGGTTTTGAGGGTACCTGTGTTGTGGGTGTTTCAAAGGGAAACCAAAAGGAAGAACCCCCCTATTTTGGGCCTGAAAAAAGACAGCCACATCGCTGAGATGGGGAAGTTTTCAAAAAAAACACGCAACCATGAGGGTGCTTCTTGATTAGTTCGACAGGGCAGGGTGGTTTCTCGGGTCATTACTAGGGCAAAAACAAAGGGCCCCTTGTAGTGAACATGTTAAGGGGTGAGTAATATAGCTTTTGCTGGTTTCCCTTTACACAGCAATTTGGCACTTTAATTTTGAGGACTTGCTAAGGTGGACCCATACTGCGGATAGACAAATCCTGCACCAGCTGGTAACGAAGGCTTGTCCCAGTAGGGTTTCATGGTTCATGGGCCCCAGCTGGTGCCTGGCGTGGATTGGTTCCATGAAGCCAGGTAGCGGGCAAAGACTTGGATATTTTTGGTGATGCCTTCAGTTGTCAGATTCCCCTCAATGGGTGGTTTGCATTGGATTCGATCCCCTGGTTCTTGTTGAGCAAGCATGGGAAACCACATGTGTGCAGAATTACGGTATATATGGCTATGAATTTAAATGGGTCAACACCTCAAAAGTGATTGGGGGACATGAATCTGCACCTAAATGACGTCCACCAAAGGATCCCCGACTAAAATTCAGGCCCCTATATATATATATTATACACTTATGTACATATAACATATATATATATATATATGTTTGTATGCACACACACACACAAACACCCGTTTTCTTGGGTCCTGCTTGCGCTTCGCCGGCATCCGTGCGGCAGCTTAGGTGCTGGGCCTCTCTCAGAGATCCTGGCGCCGTGGCTGGTGGGTGGTGCGCTCAGCCTGGCTGTGGTGGTCAAAACCGTTTTGGGATCCCATTTTGGTTGGTAGGAGGTGAATTCACCACCCATTTTAGAACCTATTTTAGTGGGGATTGAATCGGATGTTCACTGGGGGTACGATTTGGGTTTTGACCATGGCCAAGTTGCAGCTTACACGCATTTCTTGGGGTTGAGATGGGTTCGTCTTTAGGCTCAACTTGCCCAAAGTGAAACGACCTGATCTGACTGTTTAACCTGATTTGGCCAATTTTTGGTGGCCCCAAAAGGCTCACCCGTTTTATTCCAGCTCCTTCAAGGAACTGAGCGGAGCACATGGCCACAATATGGCCATTGACCCTCTTTTATCAGCAAACCGGGGGTAGAATACTGGTCTGCTTTGGGAACGGATTGCAAATGAGCAGAGGTTAGCAACATGTTGCCACAAAACAATGGATCGCACGCAGTTGGCGTACCATTCAGCTAAGTTCAGTGATGACCATCAACTTATGCCATGACCATGGGTGTGTGTTTTTGAGGATCGCGCCTTTGGCGCTCGTTTTTCAAGTGAAGCGGGACATGTTGGAAGCCGACCTTTGACCTACCCTGTCCCCAAGAGAGGTAGCTGAAACGCCCATCCGGAGCCTCGGATCGGGGAAGAGCAGGGTGACGGGTGTTTTCTCCGTGGTTTCCTGGTGTCAAGTGGGTGCGTTTCCTTGGGGGAGACCCGTTTTGTTGGTTGGCTGGGCTTTAACAGGGACACCCAAATGGAAACCACAATTTTGGGGATTCCCCTAAAAACCGTCGCGCTCGAAGAATGGTGTGTCATTTTTCATGAAGGTCATGCTTGTGAACCTGAAAGGCATTGTTGGCTTCGGCAGTCAATTCACGGAAGCCAGTTGTTGGTTCTCTGTTCGTGAGCCACCTGAAGCATATATCGAGACTTCCAGGTTGATTTTTGCGTACTCGGGCGAACCACCACTTCTAGCAACTTCTGGTCTCATTTTTCACTCACCGAGGTGCATCTTTGGCCAGACGGCCCTTATTCAGTGAGAGTTCAATGAGGCGCGGCCTGTCGCATGTGGTGCCTTTCTTTGGTGACTCCCTTTTGGTTGGCTTTTAGGGGAAGCCAAAAGGAAAACCATCATTTTTGAGGGGGCAAAACAAAGACACATATAGAGTGAGCGAAGATGTGTTTGAACGGCGAAACTATATTTGAGCGGCCCAAATTTCAAAATTGAAAAAGGGCAGGATTCACTTTTTTGGCCTTTGCAAGCAACCTTTGCTGAAGAAAAATGAGCCCCGGCAAGGCAATTTTGCCATTCTGCCATTCTCGTAGCAGGTTGCTTCTTGTACCCAGGTTTGCTTTGCGTCCCCATTGAAGTGGAGGAACTACAGTCCTCGGCGAAGCGAAGGAAAGTTGGTTCGGTGTTCCTTCGCCAGGGGCCAAATTTCTACGCTGACTCTCCCACAGTTTCGTCTTCCGAACGGGGTCCACCGTGTTTGGCAAACCCCAGTTGTCCGGTAGTATCTTGAGATTTGTTTTGTTTGGGAAGGGTGTCCCTTTATAATCAACCACACACAGAAGCCTATATATGGCCACAGTCATGTACGTCTTGGGGACGAGCCACAGTTCAAGCGCAAACAAATCCGAGGGGGGGAGACTTACTTCCCCATATCCATCGCGAGCTCAGTTTATCGTTTGTATGTTTTGCATTTTCAAGGAGGTGTCCCTTTAAAATCAATCAGCAAAAGAAGAGTGCCGGTTTTTTCCTATGGCCACCCGGGTCTGGGTTTTGCACATGTGTTGGCATATGTTTCACAAGTGGTACGGAACACTCGCTGCTGGTATGTTGAGGGCACAACCCGCTGACAATTCTCCAATTGGAGGTGAGCCAACACAAACACCTGGAGTTATGGGGTCACCAACAAAAACATGATTGGAGGCCGCCGCGCCCAAGTGAGCCCAAAGGCTCCCGGCAGTTCGGACCTGGTAGAATTCTCACATGTCGAGTTCTTGCCACATGGATCTCACCTTGAGGGGAATGCAGCTTTTTGTGGCGTCCAGGTCAGTTATCATGTACCTGAAAGAGCGCCCCCGGGTTACCCCAATTTCTGGGGGGTCTTGGCTTGCCCTGAGGTGAACGATAAAATGAGGCAGCTGGTTGGGACAGCTGTTCAAATTTGGCAGGATATCCTTGACCAACGCAGTCAACCGTGGTGCCTTTTACCTATCGCTTTGTCAACAAAAAGGAGGATGGGAGGTTTACATCGATTCAGACCAACTTCATTTTCCGTCGCTTCCCGTTGGTAAACCTTACTTGCAATCATGTGAATCGACCAGATGTGACCTGTTGATTTCCCACAGCGGGTTCCATATTATTTGTCAAGGCAACCCAAAGAGGCAAAACGACCTGTATTCCCAGGGCAAGCGAGGAGCAAATTTCAATAACCAGGAAGGGGCAAAACCTCTTTGCTTCCGGCTGGCGGTGGGGACCCTGAGTTGCAAGAAACATTGGGTACCCCAAACATGAGTGTACGCCAGTTGAATCACGAGCTTTGCCCTGGAAAACCCACAGGCCCTCGAATTGAAACGAAGGGCAGGAAAAATACGGCGGGTTCCACGCCTTTGCTTTCTCTTTGGGTCACTGTCATGGGTCCCTTCAATCTGATCGGTGGTGTCCCTTGCGATCCGGGGCTTCAAACCCTGAGGTCCTCGGCGTCGCCGGCGGACCTCCCCTCCACCGTTGGCCTCCAAGAGGCAAAGTGGGAAGGTCGCAAGCCAAGCCGAACCAAGCAACCAAGCAAGCAGCCAGCCAGCCAGCCAGCAGGCAAGAAAGCACGCAACCAGCCAGCCTACCAACCAACCCTACAATCCATGGAAGAGCTGGTTCGAGCCTGGATATAGGATTCGCTCCTTGAATGGTGTTGCTGGTACCTGTAGCGTTTCTTGCGGAGGGGTTTGATACGGCAATCAGATTTCTTGCTGGCCAGCCGGGGCGAAGCAGGGGGGCTCCAATGGCCTTTGGCAATCGTTTTGGCTTTTTGTGTTTTCTCCGGGCGAAACGGGCAAACGCCCAAGAAGGTCCTTAGGATCCATTTGGGCTCCTGTGTTTTTAGGATTGGGACCTCCCAAAATGGCATGCCTCTCGGTTTTCCTTTTGGGTGTTTTTCCTTTAAAGCCATGGAAAAAAGGGGTACCCTCCAAACCCAAAAATCACGCAGCCATTTCCTCAGGCCCTCCTTCCATGGACTTGGTCGAACCGACAAAGAACGGAACTGTGGCAACCACCAGCCCCACTTCCCAACACTCATGGCAGGCGGTGGAAGAGGATGTGCAGTGACCCCCGCAAAAACCGCGCGAGATCCCGGCATCTTTTTTTCTCTCCGGCGAGCCGCGCAGTCTTCCGGTGCTTTGCGTTTTGTCCAAGATGTGTTTTTTTTTTTTGGGGGGGGGGGTTGGTGTGGATTTGGATTTGCACCCCTTCTAGTCAAGAGAAAACAGGGCTTGTTTTTTTGTAGGATGGGGAGCCCCCAGAATGGTGGTTTTTCTTTTGGCTTCCCTTTATAGCCATGGAACAAAGGGGTACCAACTCCAAAAGGGACGCACCCAAATGATTACAGAGAACCTGGGATTTTCCATGGGCCAGAGGTCATGTTCCATCTCAAATTCGGGATGACAGGGCGACACCAAGTTTCAACGTTCCGTAAACCCCCCCCCCCCCAAAAAAAAATAAATTAAATACACAACCAACCAACCAACCCAACCCAACCCAACCCAACCCAACCCAACCCAACCCAACCCAACCCAACCCAACCCAACCCAACCCAACCCAACCCAACCCCAACCCAACCCAACCCAACCCAACCCAACCCAACCCAACCCAACCCAACCCAACCCAACCCAACCCAACCCAACCCAACCCAACCCAACCCAACCCCCCAACCAACCCAACCCAACCCAACCCAACCCAACCCAACCCAACCCAACCCAACCCAACCCAACCCAACCCAACCCAACCCAACCCCAAACAAACAGACAAAGAAAGAAAGAAAGAAAGAAAGAAAGGAAGAAAGAAAGAAAGAAAGAAAGAAATAAAATACATAAAGAAAGAAAGACAAAAAGAAAGAAAGAAAAAATTACTTCGCTTCGAGCAATCCCCACCCTTCACACTCACGAGCTTACGACCGTGAACACGGTTGTGTGAATTCATGCATGGTTTTCGAGTGGCTTGGGGCCTATGACTGCTCAACAAGCTTCCTTATCCACCTGTCTCTGTGTCAAACTCCACTTTTCTTCGGGCCGATCTCGATAACTCAAACATCGGTTTCGTTAACAAAAGCCAAGCCCCTTCCAAAAAGAAACCCGACGGGGGATTAAACGAAGTTGCTTATTCACAACCCGAAGCAACACAAAAGCATCACCCTTTCCGAGCCTCAGGGTGCACTCATTACACGAAGGCACCGACATGTCTTGTAAACCCAACTGTGCGCCGGGCGGGACATTAAGCAAAACCAGACTGGCGAGCTGCTCTGGCGGGATACTGGCGGGATCCACTGACGAATGCTGGCGAGCCGCTCCGGCTTGATACTGGCCGGATACTTGGCAGGATCCATCGGCAAAGGATACTCAGCAGGATACTCGGCGGGATCCACTGGCGGCTGCTCTGGTGGGATACTCGGCGGGGCTGCTCTGGTGGGATACTCGGCGGGATTGCTGGCGAGCCGCTCCGGCTTGATACTGGCCGGATACTTGGCAGGATCCATCGGCAAAGGATACTCAGCAGGATACTCGGCGGGATCCACTGGCGGCTGCTCTGGTGGGATACTCAGCGGGGCTGCTCTGGTGGGATACTCGGCGGGATCCACTGGCGAGGTACTCTGGCGGGATACTCGGCGGGATCCACCGGCGAGCTACTCTGGGATACTCAGCGGGATACTCGGCGGGATCCACTGGCGAGCCGCTCTGGCGGGATACTCGGCGGGATCCACTGGCGAGCCGCTCTGGCGGGATACTCGGCGGGATCCACTGGCGAGCCGCTCTGGCGGGATACTCGGCGGGATCCACTGGCAAGCCGCTCTGGCGGGATACTCGGCGGGATTCACTGACGAGCTGCTCTAGCGGGATACTGGGTGGGGGCGTGGTGTAGAAGCATCGCAAACGCGGATTCCAACATAAAATCTAACAACCCCTTCCTGCCGGGTGGGGAAAAAAAGAAAGAAAGAAAGAAAGAAAGAAAGGAAGGAAGGAAGGAAGGAAGGAAAGAAAGCGAGCAAGCAAGCAAGCAAACCACCAAACAAACAAACAAACAAACAAACAAGCAAGCAAGCAAACAAGCAAGCAAGCAAACACAAAACAAGAGTGGTGCTTTTGCTTTGGTTTCCCTTCACAGTCCTGCAAGGCGTGCCTTTGAAACACCCACACACCCATGTTTTAGGCCAGACTAAAGTTAAAGTGGAAGTTTTAAGCGGGAACTATCCGGCAAGCTCAACCACAACAGCCAGAGCGGTTTCTGCATTTTTTGCTGCCGTGGGACATGTGCTAACAGATGAGCACGCGAAGTTAGGAGGTCGCACCTCTTTACTTTGGGCTTCCTCAAGTCGATTTGGTCTTTTTTGTCAGCAAAATAGCTTTCTCGTGTCTAAGACATGCTGCTTCTGAAGCTCAAAAGGGAATATGTTTTACGTGGAGTTTTTCCCTGGATCCAATCCGTAAGCCTCATAGAACTCTTGGAGCCCAAGAACCGGAACTGCAAGGAACAGCACGTGGTGATTCCCCACGGCTTTTGGGGTAAGCGCTTGCCCGTGAACGGGACGCAATCAAAAAATGTTTTTGTTTGCGCGGGGGAGACAGGGGGAGAACTCTGAAACAAATATATATTGGCAAAAGATGAGTCCGGTTGACCAGCACACTTTGCGTACACTTGCTGGAACACATACTCGCGGTTTCAATTGGGCTTACACTCACTTGCGTTTCATTCCTGCAAGCTTCGTACTCCCAAGACACTCTAGCCGGGCCTACTTGGGTGTCTCTTTTTTTGATGGCAGCCCTATTTTGGTGGTTTAACATGGAAACCAACAGAAAAACCGTCGTGCCATGTTGGGGGGTCCGGACCCTAAAAAAGGACAAGCCACCGATTTGAGTGTTCATTTCATCTCTTTCGGAAGCATGGAGAGACCTCCGGGGCACCTCTCTGGTGTCAACATCTTGCGCACGGCGTGCCAGAGTGTTTCCTGGGGGAACCTGGTTGACGGATGGGTAACAAACAGAGGTGTCCTCCTTTGGTTAGATTGCTTAGATTGTGTTGGTTTTTATGTTTATCGCCTTCTGTCTTGCCAAAGGACCCACAAAAGGCGAATCCAAGCATTGCAGGAAACACCCGAGCAACCGAGTTTCACGTGCGGTCACACAGCTTATGAGAGCACCCTCAGGCCTTGGCTGAAATTGCTGAAATTGCCGGGATCTATTGAATCCACTTCACAGTTTGCGGCAGCCTTTTGGATGCTTTTCCTTTGGACGGCTGATGCTGGGGCCATCCAAGGAATCTGCCTATTCTATGGTGAGCTCACAGATTTTTGATATCCGGGGCAAAACGAGTTCACCATGACGTAGCACCCTTCACTTGCAAATCCATTTATTCTTTCCGGCTTTTGGAAGTTAAACATGAACGATACTACATAAATGCCTGAAACAAATCGAGGCTCAGCCAAGGTTTTTCTCGAGGGCAAAACTCTTTCGGAGTCTAAGACTCGAAGGGGTTTTTCACAGCTCGTGGTCAGCTCTCGGCTTCTCGACACGCTAGGGTTGGCAACCATTTCAGGCCATGGTTTTGGGACATATTGTGTGTGTGTGTTTCGTTCTTTGATGGGGACTCCCCAAAAAAGCTGGTTTTCCTTTTGGTTTTCCTTCAACCCCTCAAAACAGGTCATTATATCAAGATCCGTCTTAAAATGACAGATCGAGCAAGTACAAGGATGGCCCACACCTTCCTAGAACAGGCTTATATAATTTCCCACTTGCTCCAAGCTCAGTTGCCCCAAGTGAATCGACCTTTAAACCTTTGGCTTATCCAGTTTGGTTGGTTTGAGTCACCGCCCCCAGGTGATAGGCCCTTTAGGTCCCAAGGCTTAGGCACCCCGGCAAACTCTGGGCTGGTTCCTGGAAGTGGGCAGGTAGATATGGGGCAAAGAGCCGAGGATTTGGTCCCCTTGTTCCGATAGGTCCCCCAGGATCGTGCCCTGTTACCGTTTCTTTTTTGGGGAGGGTTCCCCTTCAAAATAGACTACAGAAAAAGGGTACCCTTATTCTAACCTCTCTACTGGAGGACCTAGAATAGGAATGGACAATCGGATGGGTCAACTCGCCACCTTGAACAGCCCTTTCATCCGAGAACTATGGGGTGGGAAGCAAGTGAAAGCACCATTTGCGCTGAGGGAGAAGGTGTGCCAGGGTAAGGAGTGTGTCAAAACTAGGGACCATAGGTGCTCTGGAAGGTCAGTTGGTTGAACATGCATAGTACGTTTCAGTTTGTTCACTTCGTTCCAAGAGGAAGCCAACAATGAGAAGTGAGGTCGGCTTGGCAGGCTGGCAGCTATCGGCTTGGGTTGGCCCCTATTGGTTTCTGGTCTTATTGTTGTCGGGTATGCTTGTGGACGGGCCAATTCCAGGTTATCGAAGAGATTCCACCGCCTGGTTGTTCAGTGACTCTCTTGAATTCCCTTTCGTTTGGTTTCACAAGAAATAGTTAACCCCCAAGAGAAGTTAACAGTTCTTTTCTATCGGGTCACCGAACAACTGGGTCCATAAAGAATCGATTAGTTTCCATGAAGCGAAAGGCTCGTGCTACGAAAAGGCTTTGGTGCGCCTCAAGCTGATCGCTCAAGCAACGGGTTTGGCTGCTGTTCTCTGTTAACGGCATCCACCCGCCAACGGAAACGGTTCGGATGGGAGGAAACCGCAAGACTTCATTTACCGCTTAGTTGTATAATTCAATTAGTAGGTAACCAAGGGAAGCACCTTTCAACGACTAAAAGGAGCATGGGTCGTGACTTGGTAATTGGGGACAGGCAATATTATTTGTAGTGTACTGTTGGTTTGAGGACAAGCCATTGTTCCAATGTGGAAAATAAATATATGTGGCCAACATGAACATGATATGTTTGTTGTTTGGATGGGAGACCACTTTTGGTGAAAAGGTTGCGAATCCCGGTCCTATTCGCTCATCCACAGGAGTAGTAGCAAAAAGAGGATACCCACAGCTTGCAGGCTCCACCAGGAGAACTGAACCCCCCCATCGGCAAAGCGGCCTTCGTCATTGCCATGGGCAAATTCAATGGGTGAGTTGGTAGTGTCATCCCTTGCCAGCTCGGAATGGTGCCGACTTTCGGAATGGAGCCGACTTTCAACAAAAGACACACCCGTTTTTGAGGGCTGCAAACAAGCCCCCAGTCTTTTTGGGGGAAACACCAGGGTTGTTTCTTCCCTTTACCTTTAGTTTTTTTCAGGCCCATGGGCGTCCCATCGCCAGACCCATGTGCCCAATCCAAGTCAGCACCCTCAAACCCATGGAAAATTGGAATTTCGCCCATCATTTTGGGGGCAATACATGTCGTCTTGAATCTTCATGGGTAGTTTGAGGGTCCAAATAGACGCTTTCCCCAGCCAAAATGGGAGGCACGTGCTCTTTTTCCCCCAAATACCTGGACCCTCAAACTACCCATACAGAATGGGGATTCAGCCCCTCATTTTTGTGGCAATGCTACATTTGACGCTGGTTTGCAGGAAAAGGTCAGGGTGACTCATGTCGGCTCGTCGCCTGGCTCAGCGGGCCGACCGCGCGGTCTCGGACCTGCGCCGGAGCCTCAAGGGCCTCTGTGGAGGGGAGTCTTGGCCGTCCGGGCGGCCCTATGCTTAGGCCCTATGCGTGGGGATGTTCCCCTAGGATATGGATCCGTCAACCATCCAGGCCCTATTCGTGCAGGGGATATTTTCCCGCTTTTGTTGACCCCATACATGAAACTGCTCTGACCAGAAAAGGAGGTACTTGCCATGGGAAACCCGTTTTCTCAATGTACACCCCCCCCAAGCAAACAAAGAAGAACAACTAAATAAACACCAACAAAAAAACGATCAAGGGGAAGTATATGGGTGTGTCTTTTCCAAGGTTGGACCCCCCAGCAAAAACACAAGAACACAATGGTTTCCTTAAAGACCATCTTGTCAAATTGACTTCAGCGTGCAGCAAATGAACATTAGCCATAGTCAATACTCATTCCCCAATCCCATGTCTTTGTGTTTGGTGGGCATAGGAAATCCATCCTTTCTGTACGGGCGTTTCTCAAACTAGGAGATCCCTTTTGGGATGGTACACACCTTAGTCCCGAATTTTGAGAAACGACCAGGCTGTTGATTCCCATGACACCATTGAAGGGACCCAAAAAAAGGAGGCCAAAGGTGATGTTGACTCCATATTAATCAACCCCAGTTTACTAATAAGGAAAAATCCCTGGGTTTAGTGGGGAATCATCACCTTAGCGGGCTCAGCATGCCCAGTGCGTGTTGAGTTTACGCGGGATTTCACAAACCAATTCACCGCGGACCTTTTGGTTCCAAGGCGACTATGTTCAGTCAAGGCCTCAAACGGCAAGCCGAGAAATGTTTACTCAAGTCCTTTCCTGAAAATGTTGGGCACTTACATGGTCCGCGACGAATCGCTAAATGGTTAATAGCTCGGCTACAACCCAATTACAACTATGGCGTTCGCGGTCGAAACCACGGTGACTAGCCATTTGCCCAAGACCGTCTAGGCACTCCCCGTTTTGGTGGCGAATGCGAGATGTGGTTGGCTCACCCAAGTTGGAGAAAGCAACAGGGTACGATGCTCAGGCGGCAGCACATGAGGGCACTCGTTTTGCACTTTTGTTGGGGTGCTCTAAAAGAGCAAATGAAAGGACTACCACTCGTTGGGCATGTTTTCTTTTGTTGGGGGGGACCACTCAGACTCATGCTTTCTGTTTTTTTTGGGGGCCTGTTTTGACACAGAGCGCATGCCCTATCCAGCAATTGCCGAGGCTCACCATGCCCGAGCGCCCAGCATGCGGGTCCTGCAGCCCCCATGACGACAAAGTCACGTTTTTTGGGCCCAAAGTGCCCCCTGAAGCGATACCTTGGACCCTCAAACTAGGAATTCAATCATATGCCAATTTTTATGGCAGGGTAGTTTGAGGGTCCAGGTACTTTGACGCCTTTTCACCCCTAACCATCTTGAAAGGCACTTGGAGCCCCTCTGAGCGAATTGCCTACTTAGGTTAACCATGGTCGCCCACCAAAGCCATAGCAAGTCTTCTAATGAAGTGGGTTGTATGCCGGGGAGAAGCTGACCATTTCGCGATTCGTCCTGGACCATCTAATCAAGAAACCTTTCCTGGGACCCCCAACCCCCAAACACATCTCCAAACACGGTGTACTTTAGTTTTTCGCTAGGGGGTGTGTTTGGGTGTGTTTGTGTGTGTATGACCTAAGGAGCCTCTGTTTTTGAAGCTGGGTTTCCTTCATTGTCGATGGCTGCGAGACCCTGCCGACCCTATCCCAACGTAAAGGGGCGTACAAGTGTATGCCCAAAGTGGAGCTCTTTTCCACACAAGGTCCCTTGGGTACAAGGACATCATGTGGGTTGATGCCCTTTTCAGGATCTTATCTGGAGGGTATATGAAACCCCCGGGATGCTGATTTGGAGCAGAGCCCAAGTGAGGCCCTTACCCTCGTTCGCCAACATTCCACGGTGCCCGTCTTGGGGTCCTTAAAAGCAAACCACAAGAAACAGCCTTCTACATGGTTTCTCTTTATTGTCAAATCCGATCTTGCAAAGACCCGGGATTGCTTTCAGCTCTGTGGCTGCCTCTTCAGCCGGCTGGTCGGACGCACTCCAATTGCTTGTAAATTCCAGTCGCGCCATAGCGCTTCATAGACCTTAAACTTGCTACAAACAATTCCAAGCACAGCGAAACGCACAACTCGTTGTTTGCAGGTCAAAGACCAACCCGGTAGTCAGGGAATGGTTTTAAGGGGGTGTGTGGTCCAAGAGGGGTGGGGTGCCCTGAAGGAACCCTAGGGCTCTCAACTACCCAACCCCCATAACATACTTTTCGGAATGGATTCCATACAAGTAGAGCTAACCCTACTGTTGATATGGCTGCGCGTGTGAATTCCTGTGAGTCGCGTGTGAACGGATGTCGTCGCATTCCATACG